TGTATTTATCTCAACACGTTTCGAAAATATTAAGGAAAAACCATCTTCAGGGCAGCCCCTTTAAAAGACCGTAGCGCCCTTAGGGAACGTTTGTCGACATATGTTTATATAAACTTTTCTTCGTATTCTAAGCTCTAGAAACCGCTGGTAGAATATTGCATACTTTTTTTGGGACACCCTGTATATATAACACGAGACGTGGTTATTGTCGTTTAGACCAGTTAGGTGAAAAATAAAGCTTCCGCCTTTAGTAGGGTACTCCGACAAGATTCAAGCAATAACGACTCTTTGTACTTTATTAGTCTCTAGCTTTCGTAGGTCTAGGCCATCATCATCAGGAGCTGCAATAACATTAGGAAGAAATAGAAACTATTTTGCAAAATGATTTTAAATTACTTACAATAGTATGTGAGATTGTTGCTAAACGTTATTAATAGTTAGGATGAGGGAAACATTTAGTAACCTGGTGAACGCTGGATTCATGGTACCTTCGTTAAAATTGGTAAAAAGCACACACAGCTGAATGCCAGGAACATATCACAACGGATTAAAAATATTTGGAATGAAAGTTAAAATTATTGCATGTTACATCGTGAAACAACCACTTGATGCTGCACAAGATGGTGTGGGTCTGGATCATAAGTAGAATGAAACATTTGACAAATGACAGAAGGCTGGTAGTGTCAGTGTCAATTTGTCAACAGACCAGAGGCAGTTGAACCAACTATATTATTGATGTAATGGACAATTGAATTAAACAATTATTTTATTATGAGAAAAACATTAATTATTAAAATTTTGAATGGGATGGAATTCATTGACAATACGTCATATTTTTGCTCGTAAAGTTTTTCAAGTTTTTCAACAGAAAATCCTATTTAAAAACATGGAGATAGACTCTGGAGGTCAAAGTAATGATCCCCCAGCGTCCCCGAAGATGAATGGACCCAGCTAGAAGGAAAGAACACAAATTACCAAGAAATCAAAGGAATTGATGACACCAGCTGTAGCAGACGAAAAGGACGGAGCCGTCCAGCGCCAGACCCTGATCATCGAAAGCCAGGCCCAGCAAAAGAAGGAGCTGACTGAGACCATGAAATCAAAGGAATTGATGACACCAGCTGTATCAGACGAAAAGGACAGAACCATACAGCGCCAGACCCTGATAATCGAAAGCCAGGCCCAGCAAATAAAGGAGCTGACTGCGACAGGGAACGACCAAAACAGTAAAATAGACTGCCTGACCTCCCAGGTAACCCAGTTAATCAATAATACAAATTTTAGTTCTAAATCTGACAAAAAAGACCTCTTGAAAATTTAACTGACGTGACATCGACCGACGATGAAATACAGAATGACGGATTCATCCAGGCCAAGTCTTGGAAAAGACGCATCGGCAAAACGAACAAAACCGACAAGATGGATCACTTCCCACCTCCTCCAAAAGCAAAATCAAAATTCAAGTTGACAGTCCCCTCAAAACCTTCTGCTTCATTAAACGTATCAACTTCTTCTGCCACTTGTCATATGACGGTCGATGCAGCGACCACATCTTCTCAATCTTTGGCCACTGCATCGACTGACGGTGCATTATCTCAACAATCTCACGTTGCTGGTGAGTTGACCAGCACAGCACCCCGCCAGGGGCGAATCACGCCCATTGTTTTGCGTGATGCGACCGAGTGGCGACATCTAAACTAGACCTTTATAAGCTTAGGCGTTAAGATAGAACGCGGAGTTGCCGTTGATGCGGGAATCAGGATTTTGCCGAAAACTGAGGATGACTACCGAAGAATCGTTCGCCTGTTCAGCGAGGAGGAGGTGCCCCAGCATACATTCCCTCTTCCTTCAGAACGAAATATTCACGCGTTAGTCAGAGGTATACCCGCAATGTTTTCGTAACAGGAGATCAAAGGGGAATTAGAACAGAGGGGATATACTCCTCTCCACATTATCCGACTCAAACGCAGTGGCGGCGCAGCCATGCCTTTGGTGGTCGTGATACTGCCCAAGATTGAAAAGTCCCAGCAGCTGTTCATTGAACATGAGCTGCTGGGTCTAGCATCCAGAGTTGAAGTTCAAAAGAACTCTAGACTTATTGGGCAGTGTCACCACTGCCAAAGGTATGGTCATGCGCAGTCTTGCTGCACAGCACCTCTCAAATGTTTAAAATGTGCTTCCGACCACATGACAGATTTATGCCCCCTCACAGGACAAGAGGAGCGAAAGTGTGCAAACTTTGGAGGGGCGCATCCAGCTAACAGTCCAACTTGCAAATTCACCCCCAGGCGAAATCTGGAAGACATTGCGCAAAGACGCAGCAAGTCATACGCGGAGGCAGCCGTCTCAACATCTTCGGCAACCCTCTCTGTTCAACCCACTTTGAACACGCAGAATGTGGACCTAGCAACTGCGCTTAGGTCCTTTCAACAAATAATAAGTCCCCTGATTAGCGCCACTCAGGCATTGCAGGCGATCTTTCTGCAGCCATTGAATGGCTAAGTACAATAGACAACCTGCATTTATCATCTGTAAGGTATCTTGGAGTCATCATTGACAAGGGGTTGACCTGGCAGAAACATACTGATATTTTGAAAACAAAATTCCAAATTACCTTTCGGCAGCTTTATCCTCTGTTGTGCAGAAATTCAAAATTAAGTTCGATCAACAAAGTTCGGTTGTATAAAATGGTCAAAGACCCGCAATCACCTACGCATGCGAGGATTGGTGTTTTCTTGCAAAGACGCACATGCAGAGACTGCAAGTCCTGCAAAACAGAACCCTACGCACAATTACTAACGCCCCTTGGTACGTGTCAAATGAGACTATTCACAGAGATCTTGATATCCTATATTTAAGGGATTACGTAAAACAACAGGCGCAGCGGCGTTATAATCAAGTGGAATCGCACAGAAACCCTCTGTTGCGTGATTCAGTAGACTACACAGTCGAGCAAGTTCGCAAACATTCCAGGCCACGCCTCGCACTGTGATCAAAATTAAATTGTAAATTTAGACCAACCAAAATTATTTCAGTTCACAAAACCGATCAAAATTATTTTTTGTAGTTACAAAATAATTCGAGTAGTCAAAGCAATAATGCTTAAGCTATTTCAAACGATTTACTTCTTTTCTTTGCTCTATTTCTTCCTTCCTTTCTTTCCTTCTTTCCCTTTTCCCCTTAAACATGTTTGGTATCTGGGTAGCCAGACCTGACAGACTAAAAGACCGACGCGACTTTTAACTAAGAGCAAAGGTTCACCGGACCGCTCTAACAACTAATGACGAATAGTAGAGATGGAATTTTGGAGGAAAAGCATGAAATAGACCAAAAAACCAAATTCCATTTATGGTTGTGAAAAAACAACATCTGGAGAGATGTGTGAGTGCTTTAACTTTTCGCAGTTCTGCAAATATGAGTAAATGACGCTCAGTTGCTTTATACCTGCCTTATTATTCAGACAGTTGTTATTCATGAAAATGTGGGTCATTTCCAGGAATAAACGTTTGGATAGGTGTTTTTCTTTATTCAGAACTTTGATACTTGTGTAGTTCATCAAGTGCCCTGTTGTATTGACATGAGATGCCAGAGCACATCTCTCGGGATGAAGTCTAGAATCACTTCTTGGCTTGGCTTAACCAACACGGTGTACTACATCAATTGTAATAACTGCAACCAAATTTATATAGGTCAAACTTCCAGATCTCTCAAGGGAAGGATTACATCACACAAAACTGATTCTAGACTTCATCCCGGCTTAAAAGAACTTTTTTGAAAAGGTCTGATAATTTAATAGATGAAAATGTATTCTTCTTTAAATTTGACGAATGAGATTAACAGTATTGCTTAAATAGTGCTACTACATATTTACATGGCACCTGGTCTATCAAAAACTTGGACAAAATCCTGAATCTTGCTATCAAAATTTCTGTATCTGCGCAATGGTGGAATCAGTCTGTCTGAATTAAAATAACATTCAGTACCACTCTTTTGTTGTAAAGTTTCTGGACAAATGTGTCGAATTCGTATTTTAGTGTAAACATTGAAAACCTACATTCTTGCACTCTCTTGTGATCCTTATTATTGAGGAACATCTCAAATGTATGTTGTGACTCATTATCAGTTTTTTACCATCATTCATTGTCTGGTATCGGTTTAATGTGAGTTTAATGCAAAAAGAAACAAAAACGATGAAAACACATAACCTAACAATCTTATCACATTGTCATTTTCGTTATCCCCACTATTTCAGAGCGTATAACACCGAACAAAAACCTGGTGAAAATGGTGCATGGGATTTAAAAACTAAGTAGCTCAGGTGCATGACACTCTAGACCAGGGCTGTCCAACTTAATGTGGCCCAAGGGCCACTTCAAAAAAAAAATGCAGTTTGGAGGGCCGCATTATAAAATCTTTCTATACAACATTATTACTGAGTTTTAATAGGTATATGTATATTCGGTATTTGAGAGTAATTTATACATGTGATGAATACATGACCCGTGAAGCGGGCCGCAAGAAAGGAGCCGAATGTTGGTCAGCCTTGTTCTAGACCATTGAAACAGTATTTATTGACAGGAGGTAGCTCCGAGTAGCACAACTGAGACACTGGAGAGCGGCTCAAAAGTGCAAAAGTTTCCTCGTATTTACCTGCCATGCCTCTATCAGTCAAAGCTGAAGGCAATAATGCAACAGGAGTATTTCGCGTTATTTCTTTACTTCTCCGGCCACTTGGCAACGTCGCAACGACGCTCGGCATCCGCTGGACGCTTTCCCCTACCACCTTTCGCTTTCCTTCGCTCTCGCCGTCGCGTATGTGTGAGTGCGCCGCGCCTTCCCTCCCTTCCCTTTGCCTTCCCCTCTCACTTTCCATGGTGCGTGCCGCGCGGCACCCGGCATCGCCACTATCGCCAGTAGGCCTGACACTCAGCCGCTTTAAAGACGTGCGATCCGTAACTCCCGCGCTACAAAGCTTCAAACCACGCGTCAGTGTCAAGGCCATGGCTCCTCGCCGGCACTTGGCCACCTCTGCGATGGACCGGCCGTTGAACGAGGGCCTCACCCGCTGCTGTGTGCCCACCGGGGAATGCCTGAGGGCCCAGCAACATCAGCACCCTTCCATACCCATTCACACCAACAACAATGACCCGATGATCATCTCCTTGGATGACCTCAGGGACACAGTGAGAGTGACGTGCAACAATGAACTGTGTACGGCTGGACGATACATGCATCGCGAGTGCTTTGACCAATGGGAACAGTCTGTGCTCGCTTATTTGAAGACTTGCGGAAGGGCTCGCTCCTGGTCCGAACGCCAACGCCACCAGAACTTGTGGACCAAGAAAGGCTACGACCTGGCATACAAAGCCTGCGCCTGCAAGTGTGCTCGCGGCCATCTGAAGAAAGACTTGGACTGGATGCCACCTCCACCGACGAGCAACATTTTTGGTCGCGTGGAAGAAGTCGATGTTGGTAAGAAGAAGAAAAGGCGCAACAAGCAGAACAAACTTGTTTTTACCCAACCGATTGGGAACGAGATGAACTCTAGAGCTAGAGCCGGCAGTTTATCGTGTTCCAGTACCGGGTCCTCCTCACCACCGACTTCTGGAAGTGAGCCCAGCGTGTCTCCGGTTCATCACGGTAACCATACCATGCAGCACTCCAAGAAGAAGACCAAGATGGAACTGCCAGAACGAATTCGGTAAGTGTTCAATATTCTAGCAGTTATAGTTACCCAGAGGATTTTCAAACCTTGCAGCTTGTATCAGTAACCATAGAAACTATTGCTGCATCTAAGTTCATGCTGGGATGCTTTTCTTGATAACTTGTAAAAGTTATTATAGTGAATTTTCATTAGGTAATCCTCCCCATGACCCCATCCACACTCATGGGAACTAAGAAAAAGGGCAAAACTGCCTTCCTCCCGGGTGTACATTTTAGGTCGTTGCTAAAACATTTTTAGAACTATATGTATATGGTTTAGATCACTAAAAACTTAATTATTTATCTGCAAAGTATAAGAAAATAAAGTTATGTCTCAGTAACAGGTGTTCTTGCTGGCGCGGCGTTTGAAGCGTTACACTATTGGCTTAAACAGAGATTTTATAAAATCTTTTCTACTCACAATCTGTAGATTGTGGATACCTTGAGCAAGATACTGCATATAAAAAAACGAAAATGAATCACAAAAAATACCTATGTTTTCAATATTTTTGTTAGATTTTTCAATATCAACCTGTCAGGACATAGTATAAAATAAGGGATCAAAAAGATTCCAATAGAGACGGACTTCACTGACTCTTATCTTGAGTTTTGCTTAATCAAAATGTACCACAATATATTTTTGACGCTTTCAAAGTTTTTATATTTTTAGTAGCAGATCCTCAGTAATATTTGGTCATGAAGAAAAATTATTATTCAATGTGCACATTTGTCAAATTTAAAATATTTTATGAGTGTTGGACAAAAACATCGGGGCACCCTTAATGTAAGCCCACTTCTCATTTGGATGTCACAAATTGTCAAAATATTTCTCACGTATTCGTAGAGCTTTCCTGAAACTGCAACATGTTTTTTGGTATGATCTCACCACACAATACTTACACTTCTTCCTTTACGTTGACGTTGCAAATCTAAGATAATCTTAAAATGCTGATACAGTCAAAACGTGAATGCGTCAGAAATTCTCCGATCAAGCGGATACGTCCGTATTCATTCTAGTGGTAATATACACAAAAAATATTAGACGTTTTTTAGTATCTAGTTCTCAACGAAAATCCCGATGAGAGCTCCATACGTGGATCCACACATAGCGCAACAAAATAGTAAAAAATATTTCGTTTCTGTTACGTCATTAAGCTGGTTAATCTAATATCCAGAAACCATGCTGATACAATATTAACGTGTCAATAACTTTAGGTAATCACAAGCAATGCCAAGGTTGTTTTAGTTCCGAACACGCGTCTCGGAAAAAATACGATCACTTTCTAGCGTTTATTTTTGCTACGAAAATCTATATCTAAAAATAGGACCATCCGTCAAAGTCAATAGCCATAGCGTGAAAATAGACGTAAAAATACACAGCCTTCACCCATGGATTGAATACACGGTTGAAGGCTCTTAAACATTAGATAATTTACTTTAGAGATTGCTCGTCTTTAACTTCATTACAGCGTGCAAGACAGATCCAAGCTGCTGGTCGACACAAATTTGCTTCATTTTACTTATCACTCTTATTGATTAACTGTTTGACATATTCATCATATCATCATTTAAACCCAGGTCCATACATTTGTTAATTCCTCAAAAATTATACTGTGTCTTCATCTGCCAATATTATTTCACATTTATAAAACAAAAGTGCTAAAGACAGAGCAGATTACGAAACTCAAGTAGAACATCTTTTAATGTAGGGACGCTTAAGGTATTTCATTTTCATCAAAGGTACATAAGTTGTTATTGCATCCTAATTATAACATATATATATCCAGAGATGGCCCAAAGGAAAATAAGTAACTAATATTGATTTTTTAATACAGTCACATGAACGTCAAAACATTGACAATAGAGTATGTGTACAGTTTATCGAAATATTCGCGTAACAGTCATGAGTTTCTACGGGCAAGTATAAAATCACTATCGAACTGTTTTTTTAATTATTTTAATTAGTTCCGTCAGAAAAAGGTAATCGAAAAATTGATATCCAAACTGCTAAATTGTTCAACAATATTTTGCAATTTTATTTGCCAGTATCATATTATTGACAATATTTTTTAAGTGGTTCTATCCGTATATAAAATCTCAAAACGAGTATCCAAACTGTATCGCATAACTATAGTCATTTCGCAATTTTGTTTCAAGGACCCTAACACTTGATGCAATTGAAATTATATTTTTGTAAGTTTCTCGGGATACTGAACCATACTTTGGAAGAGATTGGGCGTCAATGGTGGTTATTAAATTGGCTGCTGTGGCCAACTAATTGGAATAGATCAGGAGCCAAGCCTACATGATATGTTGCGTTGTTTATTGCCAAAGTTGTATTGTTTTAGCGCTTATTTTGGCTAATTTGCCTACCAAAGTGGCAAACCAATACATCGTCGTATATTTTTTTCTCTGGGTGTATCTATTTATTATATATAATAGCATATGAATAATTCTACTTAATTCATGATTTTGGAAGACCAAAAAAACTAAAAATTGTCGTCATCAAACAGCAGCAATGGCGGAACTCCTGTTATTGGAAATAGTGGGACACCTTGGTGAATTGTTATTGGTGCATAAACAGTGGTTGTCATATATATAATCAGTTAACTAGTTGAACATAATCTGGAAAATACCGATATTATATCATTGTCACTATACATGGTGTTAATAAGTATGTACCATAAATTTAACAGACGTTTCTTTAAGTAATTTTAAGACAAAAGGATGTTACATAATTAGTAATAACAAATTATAAAAAAATAATAATTTCCAAAAAAAACTTTTCCTCATATTCCGTATATGGTCCAAGAATATGCAATTAAGTGAACTTTTTTTTCTCTAAAACCAAGCAAGAAACTAAAAAAAATTCAAAAGACAAAAAAGTTATATTTTTCCATTTGCTTAATCCAAAGAACATAATAAAAATTGCACAAAAGTCAATGACATTTTTTTGTTACAAATATTCTTTCAGATTCCGCTCGAGACGTCATTGGATTTAATAGATTTAAGCAAGTCAGGTCTAAATTAGCTCCTTAATGTTATGAATACTACCGCCAAGTTGCAACAAAATTAGCTAAAGGATATTTGAGATAACTACGAAAAACAGTTTTTTTTTAGTTTTAGCACACTGTATCTTGAGAACGAAGAATTTGGGCACCTCTGTTTATCTGTATTTTTTGTCTAAAAATCACTCAAGGAATATGCTACATTTTTAACACCCTGTATTTATCCGATAAAAAGATTTAGACGTAATTTAATAAATTGAAAAATTGAAGTTCGTTGGTCCTTTTCAGTATCCATCAAAAAATTTGTTTTCTCTCCAATATTTTGTGCTTTAATTTTTATTGTAAGTTTTCAATTATGTTAACAAACCTTACATTGGGACTGGGCACTCAAAGGAACAAGAAGTGGATTGGAATACATCAAAATTACCACACAACTCTCTAGGCAAAAGCGCCAATGAAATATTAACACTTATAGATACAAATCTGCTCTTTTTTAGTATGGAACCCACGACTTTTTATATGTTAACGAGAAATATGAACAACCGTCAAGCTGGTGTCTTACTTGTGGTATGAACTGTGTCTGAGTTCTTGATTATGCCAGTCTACTTCGACGTTAACCGCTATGTTCAGAATTGTAAGTATAGCAAACATTTGCTGGTGACCTTCTAGAACACAGGTCTTGATGTAATGGTATGCGATGCCATGTTTACCTAATTCCAGCAAACTAAATTAGTCATCTCTGAAAATATTCCAGCCATCTAAAATTTTTTTCTTATCGTAAACTTTTTTAGATGTAATACCAAGTATACTTTCAATCGCTCATTCAACGCCTACAGTAAAAAATATGCGGCAGAAAACATCTGCTGATGTAAACGTTCAGACGGGATTCAGTCGGTACATAAAACATTTTTTTTTTCATACGATGTGTTTGGAAAGACTGACAAATCGCTGAGTAAATATTGAATTATAAATATTACTGAGTGGCCAGCTGTTTAGGTTTGAATGTTTGTAGTTATACATACACTTCAATGATATCCATAACAAAAATCTGATAGTTGGCTATAGATAGTATATTTAAATCTAGGGATTCATGTGATAGGCATAATACTAAAAAACAAGGTGGATACTGATTATACATTTATGTATTTCTAGCCTTACTGTATACGAGTACTGAATTCAACCTTTGAGTATTCATATGGAAAAAATATGTTTTTATGTTTGAGAAAATAAGCTTGCAACATCATTCCTGAAGATTCTTGTGCAAATGCTACTGTTTCCAAGACATCTTAGGCAAAGCAAGAGTTGATACTCAGGGTGACGCAAGGTGACTGTAGTAATAGACAAGTCAAGTTAGGATGGTCAAATTATTTCAATCTTTGACTTTTCTCTCAAAGCACCCAAATCCACACCAAAGTTTGACACAAAGTATATACGTTTTAAAAATCGATGGAGTGAACCCCTGAGACTCCTTATTTTGACGTTTCAGAACATTTTTAAATGTGAAAAATTGTGGGTGTGGAGTTGCAGGGGTGGTGAAGGGTACATCCCAATTTTCTGACGTCAGTTTATTTATCATACCCCCGGTAACTCTAGGTACCCCAGCGTTGGGGTACTGAGACTAATAAACTCATGGAGCTATCTGCCTGACTTGATCCATTTGATTACTTTAAACTTATTTGTAGCTAACTTTTTTCTAAGACGAAATACAGAGTCAACCTTCATGACGCCTTCTAAGTACGAACGATTTTTTTGTGCTTACGAAGTGCTCAACTGAGAACGAGACCAAAACTGTGGCATCTCAATCTGATCGATAGTTTTAGTTTAGGTTTCTTTTCACTTGTTTCCGAATTCTTAAAAGCAACTATATGAAACGGAAACAGATTGTGGAATGGTTTGAACAAACGCTAACGTCGGTGGATGTGTATATGCCTATTTATAGGAAATAGGAACTATTTTTAGATCGGTGTTTACATGCATACGGTGTTTCGTGTTGG